TGCTCTATCGTCACTATCACCATCACTACCACACTATCTTCACTATCCTTACCCACCTCACTATCACCACCACCACCACACCATCCGCCTCTCACTCCCCATAGAAGATAGTGACAAAGTAGACTCCTCGTCACCTTTAACCTCCTCCGTTATTTTGATTCCATCTCGGGTATTTTTTTTTCTCCCAGTCTACAATAGAGCCAAGGTGACAATCGTCCTGGGAAAATATAACTCAGAATTATTACCACACGCCGAAATGCAAAGTAAATAAAAGAGTCCAATCCTCACCTCCTTCTCCCGCGCGTGTGTGTGTGTGTGTGTGTGTGTGTGTGTATGTGTGTGTGTGTGTGTGTGTGCGTGCGTTTGTAAATTAAATATAACACCTACATATAATAACTTACAGGATTAAACACTAAAATAATTAACTAAAGACACAATAAACCAGGTGCTAATTAATCACTATTCTAATTAACTTCTATTAATAAACCAGCAAGCTAAATTAAACCCTATGACAGTTTAACATAAAAAACCAATAAGACTTTAAAACTGAGCCTTATGACGATGCTAGATAGACAGACAGATAGATAGATAGATAGACAGGATATAGATAGATAGATAAAAAATAATTGATAGATATAGATACAGATAATAGATTGATAGACAGATAGAAGATTGATAGATAGATAGATAGATAGATAGACAAATAAGTAGAAAATAAATAGGCAGATACATAAATAATTGATAGGAGATAGATACAGATAATAGTATAGATAGATATAGATAATAGATAGATTGATAGATAGATAGATATTCAGTAAAATCGTCATATAAGTTCACATTAATGCCTCCCTGACCTAAGGAGGTTCAAGAGGGGTGAGGATGAGGGAGGGTGAGGGGGAGTGAGGGAGGGGTGAGGGGAGGAGTGAGGAGGGGAAGGGGAGGGTGGGGGGAGGGGGTGAGGGGAAGTGGGAGGGTGAGGGAGGGAGGTGAGGAGGGTGAGGAGGTAAGGAGGTGAGGGAGGGAGAGGAGGTGAGGGAGGTGGGGAGAGATGGGGAGGTGAGGAGGGATATATTGTCTCTATTTACGTCCTGTTTATTGATTATCGACGCCATGTTATGAGGATTTTGTGTGTGTGTGTGTGTGTGTGTGTGTGTGTGTGTGTACCAAGTTGGGTTGTTGTAAGCATTTTCAAGTCTACACAGTTGTCGCCAGTTGAACCATCAGTGTCTCTCTTTGTCTTCTCTGTCTGTCTGTCTATACATCTGTCATTTTCCTAACTGATCCAAAAATAATTTAATTATTAACCAAATTTACACAATCGGAAGACATTTACACACAAAAAAACACATTAAAATAACGTGGCTTCACAAATGGCCATCTTCCCACTGCCATCTTCCCTCCATAGCCATCTTCCTCACCATGGCATCTTCCCCACCTGGCCACCTTCCCTCACCATGGTCTTCCCTACCATGACCATCTACCTCACCATGGCCATCTTCCCTCACACATCACCCTCTGGCCATCTTCCTCACCATGGCCATCTTCCTCACCACTAATACCTTCCCTCCTGTAACACCTTCCTCACCATGGCCATCTTCCTCACCATGGCCATCTTCCTCACCATGGCCACCTTCCTCACCATGACACCTTCCCCACCATGGCCATCTTCCTCACCATGGCCATCTTCCCCTCTCCATGGCACCTTCCCTCACCATGGCCATCTTCCCTCCCCTGGCCATCTTCCTCACCATGACCATCTTCCTCACCATGGCCATCTTCCCTCACCATGACCATCTTCCTCACCATGGCCATCTTCCCACCTGAGCCTTCCTCCTGGCAGCCATCTTCCCTCACCATGGCCACCTTCCCTCACCATGGCCATCTTCCCTCTGATCTTCTCCTATGACCATCTTCCCTCACCATGACCATCTTCCCTCACCATGGCCATCTTCCTCACCATGGCCATCTTCCCTCCTCTGAGCCATCTTCCTCCTACTAGCCACCTTCCCTCACCATGGCACCTTCTCTATGGCCATCTTCCTCTCATACTCACCATGTACCTTCACTATGGCCATCTTCCCTCACCATGCCATCTTCCTTCCCCATGGCCATCTTCTCACCATGACCTCTTCCCTCTATGGCCATCTTCCTACTGACCATCTTCCTCTGTGTCCATCTTCCCCTTCACCATGACCATCTTCCTCACCATGGCCATCTTCCCTCACCATGGCCATCTTCCTCACCATGACCATCTTCCCTCACCATGCACCTTCCCTCACCATGACCATCTTCCCTCACCATGGCCATCTTCTCCCTCACCATCTTCCCCTCACCATGGCCATCTTCCTCACCATGGCCATCTTCCTCCTGCGGCATCTTCCCCACCTGCAGCCATCTTCCCTCACCATGGCCACCTCCAGTTTGGATGGCCATGAGGTAAACAACGCAAACAAAGAATAAATAAACACGAGACAGATGAAATTAAATAAACAAGTGGAGAAAGGAAGGAAAATTAACGAGATAAAGACGAAACAGAGGAAAGAAAGACAAGCATTAAATAATAAAGAGAGAGAGACAGAGAGAGAGAAGGAAGAAAGAGAGAGAGAAAAGTGAGAAGAAAAGAGAATGAGAGAATGAAGAGAGAGAAAGAGTGAAGAGTGAGGAAGAGGTAGATAAATGGTAAGGCCAGAATAAATTAGAGGAGATATAGGACCAAGGGATTATCTGAATGGCCAGAGGTGAGAGATGTGGGTGTGAGGTGAATGAGGGGTGAAGGGATGGCCAGAAGTGAGATGTGAGGTGGGAGGTGAGAGATGGCCAGGAGGTGAGGAAGGTGAGGGGGGAGGAAACCCATTATTCACGAGGATGAAGAGATGAATAACCACACACACACACACACACACACACACACACACACACACACACACACACACACCTTACCATATATAATGTATACATACATTACATTTCTGAAGGCCAATACATAATGCTTAAATGAACTATGTATACCAAATAACAGTCATACATCATACGAATTGGAAAGTATACATATTAAGAGTATACATACCCCTGAAGGCTAAATTAATAATACTTACCAACTATGTATACCATCATAAACATTCAACAATACGAACAAAACAGTCATACATCATACGAATTAGAATAGTATACATATAGAAGCTGCTGACCCACTACCAAAACACCTGTGGATCCCAACCTGTTGCTTCCAGTGTTGGCTTGGTTGGAGTCTGGTCTAGCAACTCCCTGGCGCTGATAAGGTAGAGTAACGTAACGTGGAGTAGAGTAAAGTAAAATAAAGTAAAAAGAGATGAAGGAAAGTACACAGTCTTTAACTATCTTCATTCCTTTACTACCCACACATACATATATTCCTTCCTCACGTTAATTCCTTCACTCCTTCGCTACTGTAACTCCACTTTTATGATTTGGGTGACGCCAGACGATGTTAGGTAACTAGTTATGTCTGTTGCTTCGTTTTTTGTAATTCAAGTCCTGTTTTATTGTCCTGACCAATCAGTATTTTTTCCTGTCTAGTCCTGTCTAATCCATTACTGTCCTGATATACTGTACTATTGTCCTGGGTTATCACTACTGTCTCCTGAATTATTATTATTTTCCTGGTTTAATATATATTCCCTTACTGAGAGTCCTCCCCGTAATATTATTGTCCTGTCATTGTCCTACGAAAAAGTGTTGTCCTGAGTGAATTTTGTTTTTGTCCTTCTAAATGGTAATAATGTTCGGTTAACTTGGTACAATTATCCTGAGGTGGTACAATTGTCCTGGTGTTATTATAAAGCTTGAACAAAAACACTGATTGTCCTTGTCTTTGTTTGATTTATTCTTTCCTGGTTCTCTAACACCCTTGTCCTGATCGTAAACTATTATTCTAAACTAATTTGTCCTGAATTGATTTGTTTACTTGATACAATATAGTCCCAAACTGAGGTTATTTTCTTGATAAATGACATTGTCCTCACCTATCCTAATATATTTTCCTCACTCATTTTAGCATTGTCCTGGCTACACACTACTGACCCAACCCCCCCCCAAAAAAAAAACATTCTTAATTGTCCTCTTTTGTTAACTCACTACTCTTGTCCTTGGCGTCATTGTCCTAAAAAAAAAATTACCAAAATTGTCCTCAAAAAATAAAATTGAAAATGTTGTCTAGATTTTTTAAAGGTTGTCTTGATATATTAATTGGTAATGTTGTCCTTGTAAAAACTATTGTAAGAATTCAACAATATTTTCCTCCGGGGGATAATATTGTCATGACTTCACAATACTGTCTTGAAACCTAACATTATTGTTCCGGTTGTCCTGATATGCTTGTGCTGAGACAATTGTCCTTAACCTAACACCACTGTCATCCTACCCTAACACCACTGTCATCCTGCCCTAACACCACTGTCATCCTACCCTAACACCACTGTCAACCTACCCTAACACCACTGTCATCCTGCCCTAACACCACTGTCATCCTACCCTAACACCACTGTCATCCTACCCCTAACACCACTGTCATCCTGCCTGTCCCTGCCCTAACACCATCTGTCATCCCTACCCAACACCAGTCATCCTACCCTAACACCACTGTCATCCTACCTAACACCACTGTCATCCTACCCTAACACCACTGTCATCCTACCCTAACCACTGTCAACCTGCCCTAACACCAGTCATCCTGCCCTAACACCACTGTCATCCTGCCCTAACACCACTGTCATCCTACCCTAACACCACTGTCATCCTACCCTAACACCACTGTCATCCTACCCTAACCACTGTCAACCTGCCCTAACACCAGTCATCCTACCCTAACACCACTGCCAACCTGCCCTAACACCCTGAAACAGTGAAGTTAATGCTATGTTTTGATGTTATCTGTCATTAAACAGTATTGGTCGCTATAGGATCCAACACCACACTAACCAGGATCAAACCCCTTATCGTCCCCTTCAGGTCGTGTTACTAACCTCGATGCTGTAGGATTTGTTGATGGCAAACCTCTCGCGGTTAGCCTCTGCAGCCTTCATGTCTTCTGGTGTCGGAGGAGCGTGAGGGAGTGAGGTGTGGTGGATGTGTGGCCCGGAGGGAGGTTCTGTCACTACTGCTCTCCTCCTCCTCGTCAGGTCAGTGCCACAGTTCCAGCAAAACTTGAATAAGCCGTAACGCGCGAACTCCAGGGTGGTGGTGGTGGTGATGGAGAGGGAACAGCTGGCCCTGGACAGTTCTTGGGAGGTAGTGGTGGTGTAGGGGGTAGTGGTGCCTCGAGGTTAGTGGTGGTGTAAGGGGTAGTGGTGCCACTCCTCCGTCCGTCTTCCCGTAGGTGGTGTTCGAGATTATGGGTGGCGGGAACCGTGGCGGGGAAGGCGGCTTCCTGGCGACACTGGAAAGCACTTTAGCGTCGCTTGTCGAGTAGGTCTAATGGGCCTACGGTCTTTTATTACATGCCAAGCTTACGAAAGCCTCCGTCGACCCCGAGCTAAAACTGGACCCAGACGCAGTGGCTCCGCCCACCTACCTGAAGCCTTCTGCTGATTGGTTCCCGGGAAGTTCTCTCTCCAGTGTCATTGGCTGAATCTTGTGCGCCTGACCAATACCAAGGAGAGCGGTTACATGTCATAGGTCACGTAAAAATGTTGCACTCATAGTATTGGGAAAGTGATTTACCGGGACAGAATTAACCTTAAGAGCAATATTGGTATGCCAATGTGACGGGAATCGAGTCTTTTAACACGGACAATCACTTTCCGCGCGCTTTACGGCTCGTTTATGAGGGCGTCCGGCACATGAACAAGGTGTAAATGTGACAGATAGTACAGTAATTTCTTGTTTGTTTACGGAGCGTGGGTGTGACTCCCACCCCCACCCACACCGACCCAACAAGCGAAGAGTGCGGGCGTGGGCGGGGAGAAGTCTTTTATAAAGCTGTTTCCGTTGACTTTTATTCCGTTACTCCGAATTGTACCCAAGTGAGCTGGCTGGAGCTCTGTCACTCACCCACCCAGTGACTCTCACACAGGCAGACAAATTCTATTCAACTGAGACGGATAAAATTTAAATTACACTATATAACTCGTACTGTTATATTAATAGGGTGTATTGATGTAATGTATTACTGCTAGGTCAGGTCAGGTCAACCATTGGGTCGACAGTTATTTGAAGTGTCCGCTAAAATTTGTTAAAGGAAAAATGTGGAAAAGATTGAGGCCATAAAATAATGTTTACAGTGGCCGTCTTCCCCGGCCAGTTGAGGAAAATTCATTCATCATTTTTTCTTCGGTTTACAATTTTTCTACTACTACTATTACTACTTCTTCTACAAGCATCACTACTACTACTACCACTATTACTACTACTACTACTACTACAGAACTACTACAACCACCACCACCACTACTACTACTACAAAAAATAATCCAAACACTTCTCCTGAGACTTTGTTTGTAACGAATTAATAAAACAAATAATTTTGATGTTCACAATTGATCAAAATCTGACAAAAATACACAGACCGCAGTATATATATATAGACCACATGGAGATTAGACCCCCAGTTTATTTCACCTGGGAGTTAGGTTAGTTAATCTTGTGTTAGGTTAGATTATGTTAACATCAAGATATTTAACCACCAAGTGAAATAAACTGAAGGGTGTCTAATCTTCACGTCAACCACTAATACTATATTATTCACATAACCTAACATAACCTAACCTAACCACACATCTGGAAGACTGGTTTTGTCAATTTAAACAAGAAATAAGTGAAATAATCCTCCACCAGTTTTATTTCCCAGGACAATGTAAATCCTCCAGCTTAAAATACCGCTCTTCCCAAATTGCTATAGTCCCTTGGGTGAACTGATAATATCCCGTCCCTATTATATTCCATCCTTCCCTATTAGGTTACATCGTCCCTATTATCTCGTATTTTGGTTAATTGGTAGTTGGGATTATTTTTTTTATAGTATGAGCTGAATTCGTTGATTAAAGGTTACAGCTGATTGGCTGTTGCAAACCTGTCCGATTTTGTCCAGAGTAATGATGCATTTCTAAATGAGTTTATTCATAAAGACCGTTTCTGACTACTGAGATGTACAGTACTAGTGCTGCATACTAGTGTGGTGTACTAGTGTGATGTACAGTACTAGTGTGATGTACAGTACTAGTGTGGTGTACAGTGCTACTGTTGTGAACTAGTGTGATGTACAGTACTAGTGTTGTAAACTAGTGTGGTGTACTAGTGTGATGTACAGTACTAGTGTGGTGTACAGTACTACTGTTGTGTACTAGTGTGATGTACAGTACTAGTGTTGTAAACTAGTGTGGTGTACTAGTGTGATGTACAGTACTGGTGTTGTAAACTAGTGTGGTGTACTAGTGTGATGTTCAGTACTGGTGTTGTAAACTAGTGTGGTGTACTAGTGTGATGTACAGTACTAGTGTTGTACACTAGTGTGGTGTACTAGTGTGATGTACAGTACTAGTGTTGTAAACTAGTGTGGTGTACTAGTGTGATGTACAGTACTAGTGTGGTGTATTGTGTGATGTACAGTACTGGTGTTGTACACTAGTGTGGTGTACTAGTGTGATGTACAGTACTAGTGTGGTGTATTGTGTGATGTACAGTACTAGTGTTGTAAACTACTGTGGTGTACTAGTGTGACGTACAGTACTAGTGTTGTACACTAGTGTGGTGTACTAGTGTTGTAAACTAGTGTGGTGTACCAGTGTGATGTACAGTACCGGTGTTGTAAATTAGTGTGGTGTACTAGTGTTTGTAAGTGGTGTGGGTGGCACCAATTAGCATTCTTACAGTAGGTGTTTGGCCTGGTGTGGTGTACTAGTGTTGTAAGCTAGTGTGGTGTACTAGTGACATAGTGTTGTACACTAGTGTGGTGTACTAGTGTGATGTGCAGTACTGGTGTTGTACACTAGTGTGGTGTACTAGTGTGATGTACAGTACTAGTGTGGTGTATTGTGTGATGTACAGTACTGGTGTTGTACACTAGTGTAGTGTACTAGTGTGATGTACAATGCCAGTGTTATGAAAACTGCATGGTGTACTAGTGACGTACAGTACTAGTGTTGTAAACTTGTGTGGTGTACTAGTGTGACGTACAGTACTAGTGTTGTACACTAGTGTGGTGTACTAGTGTGATGTACAGTACTAGTGTGGTGTATTGTGTGATGTACAGTACTGGTGTTGTACACTAGTGTGGTGTACTAGTGTGATGTACAGTACTAGTGTTGTAAACTACTGTGGTGTACTAGTGTGACGTACAGTACTAGTGTTGTACACTAGTGTGGTGTACTAGTGTTGTAAACTAGTGTGGTGTACCAGTGTGATGTACAGTACCGGTGTTGTAAATTAGTGTGGTGTACTAGTGTTGTACACTAGTGTGGTGTACTAGTGTTGTAAACTAGTGTGGTGTACCAGTAATATGTACAGTACCGGTGTTGTACACTAGTGTGGTGTACTAGTGTTGTAAACTAGTGTGGTGTACTAGTGTGACGTACAGTACTAGTGTTGTACACTAGTGTGGTGTACCAGCGTGATGTACAGTACCGGTGTTGTAAACTAGTGTGGTGTACTAGTGTGATGTACAGTACTGGTGTTGTAAACTAGTGTGGTGTACTAGTGTGATGTACAGTACTGGTGTTGTAAACTAGTGTGGCGTACCAGTGTGATGTACAGTACCGGTGTTGTAAACTAGTGTGGTGTACCAGTGTGATGTACAGTACTGGTGTTGTAAACTAGTGTGGTGTACTAGTGTGATGTACAGTACTGGTGTTGTAAACTAGTGTGGTGTACCAGTGTGATGTACAGTACTGGTGTTGTAAGCTAGTGTGGTGTACCAGTGTGATGTACAGTACTGGTGTTGTAAACTAGTGTGGTGTACTAGTGTGATGTACAGTACTGGTGTTGTAAACTAGTGTGGTGTACCAGTGTGATGTACAGTACTGGTGATGTAAACTAGTGTGGTGTATTAGTGTGATGTACAGTACTAGTGTTGTACACTAGTGTGGTGTACTAGTGTGATGTGCAGTACTAGTGTGATGTACAATACTAGTGTGGTGTACAACACTAGTGTGGTGTACTAGTGAGATGTACAGTACTAATGCGATGTACAGTACTAGTGTGATGTGCAGTACTAGTGTGATGTGCAGTACTAGTGTGATGTACAATACTAGTGTGGTGTACAACACTAGTGTGGTGTACTAGTGAGATGTACAGTACTAGTGTGGTGTACTAGTGTGATGTACAGTACTAGTGAGATGTACAGTACTATGGTGTACTAGTGTGATGTACAGTACTAGTGAGATGTACAGTACTAGGTGTACTAGTGTGGTGTACTAGGAGATGTACAGTACTAGTGTGGTGCATGTGTATGTACAGTACTAGTGTGGTGTACTAGTCTGATGTAAAGTACGAGTGAGATGTATCAGTACTAGGTGTACACTTCTAGTGGTACTATGTGATGTACAGTACTAGTGGTGCAACTAGTGTGATGTACTAGTGAGATGTACAGTACTAGTGTGGTGTACTAGTGAGATGCGTGTACTAGTGAGATGTACAGTACTAGTGTGGTGTACTAGTGTGTGTACTAGTGAGATGTACAGTATTGTGTGGATGTGTACTAGGTGTGGTGTACTTAAGTGGTGTACTAGTGAGATGTACAGTACTAGTGAGATGTACAGTACTAGTGTTGATAATGCTAGTCGTGCTGTACTAGTGAGATACAGTACTAGTGTGGTGTACACTTCTAGTGTGGTGTACTAGTGTGATGTACAGTACTAGTGAGATGTACAGTACTAGTGTGGTGTACTAGTGTGATGTACTAGTGAGATGTACAGTACTAGTGTGGTGTACTAGTGTGATGTACAGTACTAGTGTGGTGTACTAGTGAGATGTACAGTACTAGTGAGATGTACAGTACTAGTGTGGTGTGTAGTGGAGTAACTAGTACATGTGCAGTACTAGTGTGCTGTACAGCACTAGTGTGGTTTACAGTACTGGTGTGGTGTACTAGTGTGATGTACAGTACTAGTGAGGTACAGTACCAGTGTGGTGCTATTGTGATGTACAGTACTAGTGTGTGGTGTACTAGTGTGATGTACAGTACGTGAGATGTACAGTACTAGTGTGGTTACTATGTATGATGTACAGTACTAGTGTGATTGTACTAGTGAGATGTACAGTACTAGTGTGGTGTACAATACTAGTGTGGTGTACAGTACTGGTGTGGTGTACTAGTGTGATGTACAGTATTAAGTGAGATGTACAGTACTAGTGTTGTACTAATTATTGTGCAGTACTAGTGTGGTGTACTAGTTGAGCAGTGTACAGTACTAGTGCGATGTACAAGTACTAGTGTGGTGCTAGTATGATGTACAGTACTAGTGTGGTGTACTAGTGAGATGTACAGTACTAGTGTGGTGTACTAGTATGATGTACAGTACCAGTGTGGTGTACTAGTGAGATGTACAGTACTAGTGTGCTGTACTAGTGAGATTTACAGTACTAGTGACATGTACAGTACTAGTGTGGTGTGAGTACTGGTGTGGTGTGCATGCTAATTAGTGATTGTGCAGGACTAATTGGTGTACAGTACTAGTGTGGTGTACAGTACTAGTGTGGTGTGCAGTACTAGTGTGTGTGCAGCCTAGTGTGGTGTACAGTACTAGTGTGGTGTGCAGTACTAGTGTGTTGTACCAGTACTAGTGTGATTATACAGTACTAGTGTGATGTACAGTACTAGTGTGGTGTACAGTACTAGTGTGGTGTACAGTACTAGTGTGGTGTACAGTACTAGTGTGTTGTGCAGTACTAGTGTGGTGTACAGTACTAGTGTGGTGTACAGTACTAGTGTGGTGTACAGTACTAGTGTGGTGTACAGTACTAGTGTGGTGTACAGTACTAGTGTGGTGTACAGTACTAGTGTGGTGTACAGTACTAGTGTGGTGTACAGTACTAGTGTGGTGTACAGTACTAGTGTGGTGTACAGTACTAGTGTGGTGTACAGTACTAGTGTGGTGTACAGTACTAGTGTGGTGTACAGTACTAGTGTGGTGTACAGTACTAGTGTGGTGTACTGTCATCTACTGATCCAACATTTTTTCTCATTCCTGGATACATAATTTTGTTTTGTGTAACCTTATGAATTTATCTAATACAGAAATTAATAGTTTATTGCTTATCGGTTTAGTGTGTGTGCCACCGCCCCTCCCGCAGTAGATGTAGCCCCCTCCACATGTGCAACGAATGTGAACGACGCTGCGGGTCCCGTATCGGTCTCTTTAGTCACCTCGAAACTCACTAACCTAGGTGACATCCCTAATGACTCATATCATTGTATCATAGCTGGATGATCGTCATACTCGATTCCGAGTGACAATAAAGTAGTAGTAATATTGTGTACGAATATTTTTTGAAATATTTTAATGTATGTTTTGCGTGTACGTTGTTGTATGTATGTCTTATATGTACTGTATATGTGTATGAATATTTTATCTCTGTATCACAGTATTTGGGTATACATGATCAGTATGTGTCCTTACAAATTATTATAACTGTTTATGTATAAAGTATTAACACATTACTAATATTCGTCCATATTATAATGTTAACTGGGCTTCAGGTATGTTTCCACGTAGGTATAATCGGGAACATTTAAAAAACAAAGAAAAACCAATTCTAGTCTTACGAACTGACCATGAATGATATAAACAGGAAATAAATAAATGTCCTTAACACAGATTGGCAACACAGGGGCTGGGAAGAGTCAGGAGAATGTTGAAGTGACGGGTGTGTGTGTGTGTGACGGGTGTGTGACGGTGTGTGTGTGTGTGACGGGTGTGTGTGTGTGTGTGACGGGTGTGTGTGTGTGTGACGGGTGTGTGTGTGTGTGTGTGACGGGTGTGTGTGTGTGTGTGACGGGTGTGTGTGTGTGTGACGGGTGTGTGTGTGTGTGTGACGGGTGTGTGTGTGACGCAGTAGTAATAAGGTAATCAACACTAATTTGTAGGCAGTATGAAGTACAGGACACTTGTTTTAGTATGTTATTACTACTTACACTATGAGCTTGGGGGTTGGGGGGGGTAGAAATACATGGTGATGAGATTCAAGTCCAAGGATGAGGTTCTTACATCACAAAAGCTGAGAAGCTACTGAGAAGAGACTGGGAGGCTCTCATGTGTGAGCGGAAGATAAATCCCCATTTGGCAACATAATCTAACCAGGCCCACCCCTTTTTTATTCATATAGGTCTGGAAAGATCAAAACGTCATGTGACCTGACCCGAAGCTCCACAAACATTTCACAGGGCGTGACCTGAAGCCTGGGGGGGTTAATAATAGTAAATAAATATATTTAACAAAGTTTATTCTAACACTACACATATATACAGTATACAGAACACCAATAGTTCATAAAGTCAAACTTGGACACAATACAATTTTGTTTATATTAAGATGTCAATATTACCAAAGTAAAACATGGATTTTTTATGCCTTTGGTTGACTGTATTAAAAAAACAACTAGGTGGAGAGCAACTTCCTCAAACATCTTTTTAAAACAAATGAATTAGTTTTTTGGTTAAGGAAGTAACACACGCATCTGCAGTGTACCAGAAGTGACCAATCGCATGCGAAGTGGTTCTCATTCGGCCACTAAGAAGCCTCCGTTGATACAGTGATATGTAAAAAAAAAAAAAAGCCTGAGACATCAAGATAAAGTTCCAGCCTTTACCTGCATTCACGAAGGAGCGAAATCTTCACTATTTTTCTTTTAACATTAGAACTACTTTTTATTGAGTAAACTAAACAAACTGTCATTATAACTTAGTATTTCAGAAGGCACAAGACCTCTCTGAACTGAAAACACCATCGTTCCCTCGTCAGTGAAAAAAAAATAAAAATTAATATCTTTACAAATCACAAAAATATATATTAATTGGTTCTATAAATGTAACAGACTGTTTAATATATTCCTAGAGGATAAACACGTTACAGGAGATACGTGATCCCCCATCTAACTAAGACTATGACAAACACCATCCTGGCAACGTGACACAACCAGGGCTAAACGCAACATACTCATCTAGCGAACGTTCTCACTGACTTACGCCTCTGTTGTGTTGTCGGTTGATTCGTCGACTGGGGTACTGTCTTCTGTTGCCGTTGACACTTCTGTTGGTATGTTATCTTCTCTTTCCTCATTCTCGTTATCTTCCTCTACCTTTATTTCTTCATTCTTCACTTCTTTGATTTCACTGTTGTCTTCCTCGTTAGTCGTATCCTCAACGGCGTCCCCTGACAGGTCCTGAGGTCGCTGAGTCTCGGTCTCTTCTTCCTCTAATTTCTCACTTGTATTCTCCTTGGCCTCTTTATTCTTCTTAGCCTCGTTCTTCTCACTTTCTTTCGTCGGTTCCTTGGCCTCAGTTGAAGTAGCTGACGAGAACAAAGCGGGAATTCATTTTTTTTTCCACAGGTTATCAGAGGTTAAGTTTCAGGCATCCCGTAAGCAGAAGAGGTGAGGGCGCAGGCGTGTCTCAGCATTAGGAGGATGTAGTCAGTAGCTCACACAACAACTAGCATCAAGAAGCAGTAAGGGTAAGAACCAAACGCCCAGCAATGTTATGTACAGTACAGTTGGTCTTGGGTGCCATAAAAGACGCCCCAGGTCAGTAGGTTATGGAGCTGTAGCACTAGAGAATGAAGCTAGGATGGGTGACCGTACATTGAAGCCAGGATATACCATAGAATTGAAGCCAGGGAAGACAGAGAGAATTCAATCAGGAACCATGAAATGAGATCACCAGAGGAACAAAGCCAGTTAGAAAATAGAATTAAATAACTATGATATAATCCAGGTATAGTCATCAGGCCACAGGGTTAGTTCACCATGGAATGAAGCCAAGTAAGTCAGAAAACGAAGCCAGATGACCACGAGATGAACCCAGTCAGTCCTAGAGACGAAGATCAGTGCTCATGTACCGGGTCTCACGTCACCAGAACACATGATTCAAAGTTACTAGGACACGAGCCAAGATCCCGTGGAAACAGGAGCGGGTCATGTGAGTAAACTAGACCAGCGACAGTAAGTAGTAACCTTAAGATGAAAAGAAAAACAGAATATTATTTACGTAATGGAGCGTCAAAACCTGAATCTTAAGCGTATGTGATGCTCTTTTGGTTATATCAGAATACAGACACAAGAGACGTCTGTATGAATGAATGTACCGTATTAGGGGTTAGATAAAGCTTATATATCACAAAGATATGCCCATAAACCTGTTACACAAAGCCAAGAAGATGCAGTGAAAAACCTGAACAAAAGTTGATCATATGTACTACCCTAACTAACACTAATCAATATTCTTATCCATTTACAGTCCATATTATATTTTCCCAGCATAATAAAATAAGGGGTTTATTTCCTGACATTTTTAGTGACAGGTTCAATAAATAATAATTAATTGTTCCTTACGACTAAAACGCCAATTGTCCACATAATACAGTTGGTCTTGTTTGTTGTGTTTTATCGGCAAAAAACACACCACCAAGGAGCTATTTCAGTGACGCTTAACTTTTGTGTTTTTTTTTTTTTACGAATTATTCAAACATTACTTACTGGAGATAAACTGATAACTTGGGTATACTGACTCTTCATATAATCATAAAAAAAACTCGAGCATATGTGATACTACTTTTAAATGTTATGCCTCGTGACTACGCAGAACCAACAAGGAGGTAGACAAGTTTCCACACAAATAAGCAAACAATAATATTAGACGCACGCAAATAAGCAAACAATAATATTAGACGCACGCAAATAAGCAAACAATAATATTAGACGCACGCAAATAAGCAAACAATAATATTAGACGCACGCAAATAAGCAAACAATAATATTAGAAGCACATAAATAAGCAAGCAATAACAACATTAAACGCACGAAAGCAACAGACATTAACGAGTCCCAGCATAAACTTGTCACTAGACCAAACCAAACACCACCACGATGAGGTATTGTTGTACAAGACCTGGGAAAGTAGTTAGGAGGAGGAGCTGTCGTCTTCATTATATGTCAACAAGTGTACCAGATGGCTCATAATACTCGACTTTCAATATTATGTTCTTAGTCAATCCATCATTTTCACCACTTCAGATTAATAGCTGGTTGAACGGTCGGTCTGTTCTGTACATTTTTTTTTCCTTTCTCAATTATGACTCTCGTGGACTAGTGACTGTAGAGGAGGAAACCGGAATACCCGGAGAAAACCTGCGACGTTAGCTAGGATCACGATATAAGACGTGGATAGAAAGTGCTGTAGTAACTGGCGGAGCACAAGTCAAATTGGTGGTTCTGAGACATCCTGATATCCACGCCATCCAAAACATGACACGTCTAGATAGTGGCGGTTTTCACTTCCTAATCTATCAAGTTAATCGTGTGAGTTTATGTTTTAGCTGTGTGTAATCAAAAGATAAATGGATCCCTTTCCTACACGTTTCAACAAGTAGCGACGCGTGTGGTGAACGATAGCCTATAACATTCTACCCATACGTTGGTTATCATTCCTTTATTCCCATCTGTGTGATTTAAAGAAAGACAGTCACTAGAAAACACATTTCTCGACAAGGCTCGATACACCGTAGACCACTAGATAGAAATGAAGGAAATGTGAGGCGTATTACTGTTGAATAACGAGAGAATACCACACACACACACACACACACACACACACACACACACACACACACACACACACACACACACACACACACACACACACACACACACACACTGGTCGTCATCGAATTCCTGACGTCTATTAGTTTCGCAATGTTCTCAAGCAAATGCAACACTACTTCCCCCGTTCAGTTCCACAAGACTTGCTTGGGGGCTAAGATGGCGTAATTTTGCTCCAGTAACCCTAAATTGTGCAATGGTGATGAAAAAAAATATATTAGGCGTTAGGTTAGGCTATGCTAGGCTAGGTTAGTAATATATTAATCGGTTTGTCACTGATCTGGCTGCTGGGCAAAACACCTAAGAAATCCCTATACAAAAAAGAGGCGAAGGTATTATCTTCTTTTATTCAATATACGGGTAATTAATCCTACGGCAAAATTGCTTAAATTAAATATTCGCTTTTCTACATCACTTTACACCTTTTTGTATTCATTTATATTGATAATTTCTTCCCTTGAGATAGTGAGATCCGCCCCATGATAAGAAAACAGATTACGTATAGCAACAGTCAACAAATACAAGCAGACGATAATATTACTTTAGTTTCCCCAGAAAATTATCCACGAGAGAAAACGTATACTATATTAAGATTTAGGGTATACTAAGGTAAACCACGGATATAACTTCTCCGTAAGTATCTAAGGCTCGGATTAAGTGAAGATTAGTTTCTGTCGGATAACATCACAACACTACACTACACTACGCTACGCTACGCTACTTCAGTTACCTCCATCCACTCATAGGGCTCTGATATGATCCCAGTACTACAAACTTTGGCTATCGATAAAAAAACTTACACTTTTATCTTAGAAACTATCAATCATCCTAATCCTTACCCTAATATAAGATAACTACCAACTCATCCTAACACTTACCCTGACTTATGGAAACTACCACTCAAACCTGACACTTATTCAAGACACTTAACACTAACACTTACGCTTAGGTTTGACACACAGCTTGCCACACTCGCCCACCATACAGCACTTGGTGGAGCCTGGGCACTGGCCGTCTTCCTTACACTGATCCAGGCCGCTCATACACTTGATCCCGAAACCCTTGGGAGTCTCACACAGTCCTGGCTTGTCTGAGGAAAGGGGTACACAGGGGGGGATTGGTGAGGTCACTTGAGGTCACAATTTGAGGGAAAAATAACAAAATAAATGGTAGTGAATTAGCTAAGGGCACAATATAAAGGGGGAAATGGTGGTAGTGAATTAGCTAAGGGCACAATATAAAGGGGAGATAATGTTAGTGATTTAGCTAAGGGCACAATATAAAGGGAAAAATGATGGTAGTGAATTTGTTAATGTGTTGGAGTGATTTACATAACACCATTGCTAGGGACGCCACAGATAGATAAGTGGATAAATTTCCCACATACAATAACCAATAACACAAAAATTATGATAAGCAACGTAGAGTAAGGGTTATGAGATGTGGAATTGAGGTCAAAGGTTAATAATCATAGAACAATTAAAGTTAAGGATGATAAACAATAGAGAATAACAATAAAGTAAGGAATAAGGTGAAATAAACAAGAGTGAATTAAGTGTCAACACACCAGCCTTCGTCGTGGGTGTTGTGCGGCTCTTGGAAGGCGCTGGGGTCGGGGCCGCTAACCATCCATTCACACCGGCCCGTCGAATTTCCTCCGTAACAGGATCCGTCACAGCCTCCGTCGCCGCCTCCGTCACAGATTCTGTAGTAGTCTTGACCGGACGTTTGAGTGGAGGTCGGCTGAGGGGCGCGGCGGGGAGAGGGTCAGTCGTATCGTCGGGTGTGACGGTAGTGGATGGGTTCACTCGGGTTCGACACCTTCGCCCTTTACAATTGCTGGGGATGGCCGACACCGACGCCACCTGTTGGTAAGATACATAAACTCAGTGTCGTAGTTACATGATCAACACGCCTACATACTTTAAATGTTACATAGTTCATAAATAAGAAATGAGAAAAATATCCAAGTATATATTATGAAGTTAGCTCATTATTTTAACTTTATTCAGACATTTGTTATGATTTGTACGAGTGAATGTGCGTCCTGGTAACCGTTCACCATTATATAAACACTTCTAACATTCTTCCCCAGACAGACACACAAAAAACAAAACCAGACAAACCACAGCAACATAACGTAGGCGGGACCAGCCAGAGGGGGTTAAAACACACACACACTACCCCCCCCCCCCCATCAGCCTCTCTCACCACACCCCGCCGGTCACCACACCACCCTGGTCACACCTATAGGATCTGGGGCTATACATTGGTTGTAATATCTCTTTTATAAACACCAATGACTTTTATAGATTTCTTATTACCTATAAATACATTTGTTTGTTTATTGTAGTTGATCTATTTATCCTAACTATAACTGAATAATAATAATAATAATAATAATAATAATAATAATAATAATAATAATAATAATAATCTTGCTATAATTCATTTTTTTGTTTATAAATGAATACAAAAAATCAATTTCCTAAACCCATTCAAATTCCATAGTATAAACCTCTCTCTCTCTCTCTCGTCACCTCCACAGAAAGTGAAAGGTAAGTATAACGAAAAAAAAGTCCTTTCCCTGTTATCTGGTGAAAGTTTAATGAGGTGAAAACGGATTTCCTCTCTGGATGTCTCTAGTGAAAGTAGGGAGAAAGGCCCACTAGTGTTTGGTGCCCGTGACGCTCATACACCTAACCTTCAGGTCTCTCTCTCGTTATCTCTCCCTTTCTCTTTCTCTATATCTCTCTTTCTCTTTATTTATCTATCTTCCTTGTTCCATCTAGCTATCTCTCTATATCTTCATCTCTCCTTCTCGTTCTCTCGATCTTATTCTCTCTTTCTCTATACATGACCACAACCGTACAAGCACCACTAACCTCCACCACCCCTTCCCCTCCTTCCCCTCCTGTTAAGTACGCCCGTTGCCTCCTTCCCTCCTGTTAAGTACGCCCGTTGCCTCCTTCCCTCCCACAACACAAGTAACAGGAGTGTGATAGCAGGAGGTACGATACGCAGGTCTGCTTTCCAGGTGATCAGTCAGGTGTATAGGAATCAATTCTTAGCTTTCACTGGTCCATGTTAAGAGGCTACTGGCAGCTCTCTCTCTCTCTCTCTCTCTCTCTCTCATTAACATCACACACACACACACACTTTAATAAAAACACTAACTGCTTTCATTATAAACTCCCATACAGGATGACTGGCAGTATTACAAGCCATGTAAACAGTTAAAGTTAAAGAGTATTAACCCCTTGAGGACGATGACCTAACCACTTGAGAATGGGACCTAACCACTTGAGTACGATATCACTTTAGGTCTGGTCAGGTCGGATCGGGTTAGGTTAGGTTAGGCTAGGCTGGGTTGGGTCATGTTAGGTTAGATTAGGTTACGCTCCGTTACCTTACATTTGGTTAGGTTATATTAGGTTAGGTTACGTTAGGTTCGGGTCGGGTTACGTTAGGTCACGTCGGGTTGGATTAAGTTAGGACAGCCCTGACCTCCCTTCTCACGTTAGAGAGTGAAAAGAGTGCGTTTCGTCTTTGTACAGTAGAGTGTGTGGTATTAATCCAGACTTTGTACTGTATGTTGTTCCTTCCCTAGTCATGTCAACACTCCCCCACCGAATGGCAGTGTGTGTGAAAAAGTACCAATCAGGGGAAAGCTACCAAAACAGACAACCAATCAGGGGATAGCTACCAAAACAAACAACCAATCAGGGAAAACTTACCAAAACAAACAACCAATCAGGGGATATTTAACACAAGAAACAACCAATCAGGTGATATTGACCAAAACACCAATAAAATTACTGATATTTACCACACGAAAACTAAAGGGATATCAACCACAACAGGAATCAGCTGATACCAACCATAATAAACAAACATCAGCTGATCTCTGCAACAGACGTCATCAACACAACAGCTGCAACACACGGAGAAAGTTTTGCGGTGACATGAAGTGTGAAAGTGATGTCATAAAAACGGATAATTATTTTCAGGAGAAAGAAAAATATTTAACCCTTGCACGAAAAAAAATGAAAATTGCTTTTCTTGAAGTCACGAGGTAGTGTTTATTTATTTTGTTATTGTTATGAGTGGTTGTGTTTACATTATTATTATTATTATTATTATTATTATTATTATTATTATTATTATTATTGTTGTTATTATTAGTAGTAGTATTATTGTCATTATTATTATTATTATTACCGATATTCCATAAGTATTATACTTTTTGAGGGCGAGGGAAAGAGGAATGGGGGAATTGAGGGATAAAGGGAGGGAGAGAGGAATAGAGGGACTGAGGGAGGAGGGATTGGAGGGAGAAAGGAAGGGAGGAAGGCGGGTTAGGTAAGGTCAGGGAGGGAGACTGTGAATGAGATGAAGGGAAATCGGGTGTTATTGACTCGTGATTTGATGAATGGAATATCTCCTTGGGGTCATGACCTCGAGAGAGAGAGAGAGTAGTGGGTTCGCCTCAAGGTATAATTAACTAGAGATGAACGAGGAACCTTATCTCCGTTAACTAGTGAGATCAGAGGCACCATATACGGCAGTGTGTGTGCGTCTCTCTCTCTCTCTCTCTCTCTCTCTCTCACACACCTTAAACCAAGGAAAATCAGACACCATCAGATTCACTCAGCAAACATCTCTTATGACCACCTATAGACTACTGGGCGGTGTGGTCACGGAGCACCAACCTCAATGATTACAGCCCCCCAGCAGGAGACAGTCGGGTAGTGCTTCCTAGTGTAGGCCCTGACGGTGACTGCTGCGAGGGGTGATGGGGGGAGGGGGGGGTCAATTGGAGGAGATAACTAGGGGTTTGGAGGGGCGATTGGGGGTTGGGAGGGTCGATTGGAGGGGATAATTGGAGTTTGGAAGGGTCGATTGGGGTTGGGAGGGTCGACTGGAGGGGATAATTATGGGTTTGGGAGGGCGATTGCAGGTGGGGATTGTGAGAGATAATTGGAGTTTGGGAGGGTCGATTGGAAGACTGGGAAGGTCGATTGGGGACTGGAAGTATTGCTTGGGAAGGTTGATTAGGTAATTAGGAGGGGTGACTGGGAACTACGATTGGACACTTGAGTGATTATGTAAAGTTCCTAGCGTGGGGTGACCCTCATCGATGACCTCTGACCTTAACCTTTATTCGAGTGACGGAAAGGTCAATCAGCTGAGAAATTTTACCAAAGAACGGAACAGAATGGTGGATGTTGGCAGGCTAACAGACAGACAGACAAAGACAGAGTGAACCGATCATTACAAGTGACGATTCTTCGATTTCGCCAACTAAATAGAATTTTTTAAAAGAACAATTACTATTATTCCAACAACTATTACTACTACTTCTACTACTACTACTACTACTACTACTACTACTACTACTACTACTACTACTACTACTACTACTACTAATAATAATAATAATAATAATAATAATAATAATAATAATAATAATAATAACAACACATTTCAACCCAGGTAGTTAAACAGTGGACAGGTATCATCCCAGGTAAGTCCACTCGATGTTCACACTCCCTGGATAACTTTCTAAAGCAGCGTACAAGTTCCAGAATCCCTCTACCAAGCCTTCCCCACTACACCTTGTCCAATACACACACTGCACTACACTACACCTTCCTGGCTGTCTTCATTAGCCAGAGGAGGAACAGAGGTTTATTCTTGGGTGTTTCAGAGAGAGTTTCATTTTCTCTCCCTCTTCCGTCACTCTCCCTCCTCCCATACACCTCGAGAATGATATTACTCCTATATGCATCTCTTACGTCCCGTCCCGTCCGTCCCGTCAGTCCAGTCCAATTGATCCGTCCGTCAGTCCGTCCCGTCCGTCCCGTTCCGTTCCGTTCCGTTCCGTTCCTCGTTTCTCCCTCTGGGCGATGATGACGCACTATCTTGTTGCTTACGGCAGCCACACACTCACTCGCTCATATACTCAATTGGTCACTCACTTTCAAACACACATACACATGCACTCACTCACTCCCTCGCATATTCCTTGCCTCACATTCAATTACTCACACACACTCACACCTCACTCCTCACTGTGTACCATCAGTCATAAGTGTTGACAAATATTCCCCGCCAGTTCCTACATAGTTACAGCAATTTTATTTAGTCTTAAGGCTCTGTGTAATAGTTTGTGTTGCGTCAACTAGTTCTATGAGTACCAGTCTTAACCACTCCATTCGCTGAGAGAGAGAGTTTACCAATAAGTAGAGACATCAAAGAAATAATTCAATAATAGGGATAGACTCGGGAAAATTATAATAAAAAAAGTGTAAAGAAAACGAGGGCTGTTTGTTTTAAATGCATAAATATATACAGTATTTCACACAGACACTAAGCACAGCACACAACTTTCCTCTCCTTTACGACAGCCTTCACCAGTAAGTTATGCCCTCATTATCACAGGAATAGCATAGTATATACCCAACGATTTATGACGGGTTAAGAAGTTTTCTGACTGAGGCAGTGAAATGTTTATGTCATGTCAGTATTTAGTGTGTGGCTTACGGTGACTGTGTGTGTGTGTGTGTGTGTGTGTGTGTGTGTGTGTGTGTGTGTGTGTGTGTGTGTGTGTTATTTATGAATTGTATGCTTTCTAATACATACAAGGGAGCTACAGTATTAATTTAACGTCCGAAGTATACGAATTACACCAGACTAAATATCCCCAAAAAATAAAAAATTTTGCCCTGTAAAATCAAATTAACGTATCTAGTACAAGGTATTATCTCAGTGTAATTTTAATGTTATTTCAGATCATTTCACTGTTTGTTTTCACCAATGAGTAATTATTGAACGAACTTTTATGAACGCGAACGAAGGAAAAGTGCGTTTATTACTACACATAAAAATAGAATAAGCATCGTTTAGTTTTTTCTTTACATGTTATCATATTGTGAAATGGATGTATTAAAATTTCTAAACTATTATGTAAGTTATATGAACAAATGTCATGGGGGAGCTTTAATAATAATATACTTAACTTTCATAAATGTTCACACTTTTTATCATAGTTTGTTGAGTTTTTGTATGTAAAGAAATGTTGAAGTGTGTTACGTGTGGGGGTGAGGGGGGGGAAGAGGAGGGGAAGAGGGTATATCGTGCGAGAAAGCAAACATTACTCCAAATTCACCAAAGCGATGATTAATGAACTTGACAGCTTTCCACACACACACACACAAACTTAAAATATAAGAAAAACAGATATTTTTCCAGGAAATTTAAATACAATCTGATTTTAGTTTAATAAATGAAATAATTTTAATCGAAGGAAGAGGCTCGCGGAGGAATACATGACAGTTCAATAATAACAACCACAAGATAATATTCACTAAACATCAGATTTAACCCAAATATACAATATATCAGTGACGGTGAGCAATATGTGATTTTTCTTACCATATTTAGACATTTTAACTGAATTTTTAGTAATATTTAAAAACAAAGTTAACTCACATACCGTAGATGAAATTCGATCAAAGGGAAAATAATGATAATCATAATAATAATAATAATAATAAACCAAAAAATTCTTAATAATCTCAAGGATCCAAAATTAGTATTAACAATTCATTAAGTCTAATTATTGTCCAATTAATTTCTAGTAATATTCCAAAGCGAAAATTGACTTATTAATAATACGAATTAGAATCTAATCTTTCAAAAAAATAAAAATCTTAAAAGCTACTTTCAACTCACGTAAATAATATTAGAAAATAAAACTAGGGTGAAACTACAGCTTGAAATATCCCAAGAACCAGTTTTAATTCACCAGACTTAAACGAGGAAGAAGAAACCCTAGCCGCACCACCTCTTTATAAACCTGCTGCTGCACATTCATCAAGCAAGCCTGCAGGGTGTACGATAGCTTGGGCCGTCAGCTGGCAGCAACAACATGAGGGTAATCAGCTGTTTGTTTCAGTGGCTGGTGTTTATATATGCTTGTGGGACGTGACTGACGCCATAAAGAGAAACCTCCTCATAAAGAAACATCTCTCTCTATAATAATCCGTTAGATGGAGGGTTTCACATCTAATGAACCCCCGATATAACACACACACATGATATATTCAACAAATCATGACAACTTCCGCCATTTGCGTCATGAAAAGGTTTTAACCACATGCCTACAATATATTACAGAATTATATCACATCATCAGAACTAATTTTCCTCCAATCAAAACTTTACATTAAATCCTCATAAAGAATAATATATCAAACCTAATTATACCATGACTTGACATAACTGAGGCCTAGCGTGAAGTGTCATAGAGTGAGCGCTTCAATACACGCGACTGACACCAGAGACACCAAAATAGATAGGAATTATTAGTATAAAAATATTACGTGTGAAGTTTATTTTTAATGTGGACGAGGGACCATAAGTTACTAAGTGGGAATTAATGCTCCACGGGTAAATGAACGCTTGGTGTGTGGAAATCATTCATTCACAGACAAACACGCGGATGGATAACCTTGGTCATTTCCACACCAAATTACGCATCGCTAACGTAGTACACTCCTAACATGGAGAAAAGTTCAAATTTTAGTCGCTGGTAGAAAGTTGCACTGGGTTGGTGTGTCTCCTATGACAGACACCTGACTCCATGACTGTCAGTGTTCGCTACACCAATTTACTACTTTCTAACGTATTCTGAAGAGCTGGCAACTGTATATAAATGATGTTAAATGTATTTGTACAACATAACTGTATTTTGTGGAGCTGAGGATTGTGTATGATGTATCTAATGCATAACTATGTATAAATTTGAAATGATTGTAGGTGATGTATAATGTACAGTATATATGTATATTTGAGCTATGTTTAGATCGTGCTAAGTGTATTGTATGTATGCTTGATAAATATATGGATATAGTCATTGATGCTAAAACACTGAATAAGGGACGTCCATTGTATAAATACCTAATGACACACACACACACACACCATGACATCATCCGCAAATTCGGTGAGAAGCTTCTGCACCATCCCCGAAACCGGCTCCTGCTTCCACTCGAGATCCCTCGTCCGAGAATTGCTGTTTGGCACCACAACCGCATCCAGCCAATACGAGCACGTACTGATAACTATAAGAACAGCCCAGTCCCAACTATTGTAAAAATTATCAACAACTCGTAATCAACCAGTGTGTTCACTCCCAGCCAATCTTACTTTTGCATTGTTACTACTGTATGTTGAAGTGCCCTGTAGTATAACCTTCTCCCCACCTTGTTATTATATATCATATTTGTATCACTTATGTTACTTGTGAATTATTTGTAAATCCAGTGACCCATTCCCCAATGATGCAACTGTATATTTCCAACGTTTTGGCTGCCATGTTCTATCAACAAACGGTTAATTATTATTATTACACACACACACTCCATTTCGTCACAGACACATTTCCTCCCTCCCTCTCGTCACGAGATGCGCCACCAACAGGCCTAGTGACAACGACGTGCGTAACACAGTGGGCGACGCAGCCCTGGGCAACGTCGTCACCCGTCACACACTGCCACCAACAACAATTTACTTGATCATGCCAACGCCCTCAAGTAACCTAGCCCATGTCTGTTTGTTTGTTTGTTTGCGTGCTCTGTTTGTAAAGTTTTATTCCTTGGTAAATCTGTTTATGAATAGTATTTATTATTAGTAGTAGTAGTAGTATTAGCAATATTATTTTATTATTTCTAGCATTACTATTATCAACAGCGTTCAGCCTTTTAATTAAAATTTATAAGCACATGGAATCGAATACCCCGAATTTCTAAACAAGAAACAAAAGCCGGTCTACCCTCCCCTCCCCCACCCTCTCCAAGAATGGGATCAGGTCCTCTTAATAAACCGGATCCCACAAAGTTATACAATCCACCTACGGTTTCTCTTTTAATCGGTCTGGAGTCTATAAATTGGCGGGAAATGTTATGTCATTTGGTCATGGCGTTGGGTTCCCTAGTTGTGTATTTCTCAATGTATGTCAATAAATAACAAATAGAAAGTCTCTAAAGGTTATTATTATTTACTGTAATCATCATAGTGTTATTATCTATATTATTACCACGTAGTACTATTATTATTATTATTATTATTGATCTTATAACTAAACTAACAAAGCGAGTACCTCCCTCGTCGTAAAACCGATTATCCATTCCCTTATTTAGACGTGCACTTTCTCCAGGAGATGTCACAGCTACGACCTTTATTAAAAAAAATAAAAACACTACGGAAAAACAACTTCTATTCTCATGGGACCATTTTTTTATCGTACCTCAGCCACCTGCTCTCACTCCACCCCTGGTTGAGAAGGTCGTCGGTTAAGGTAGTGTTATAGTTTATAAATAAGACTCATTATATAAAGTTTTTGTTTATATAGCTAATAATTTATCTATCTATCTTTTTACGCAAATATCTATTATTTATAAATAGTTAATACGCGAACAGATACACAAATAAATAAATCAAAATGCATCAACAAACACCGAAAACGAATGAAGGAAATGTATAAATAATGAATATACTAATAAATGTATAAACGAACTAAACATACAAACCTTAAAATAAAAACAAAAGAAATGAGAAAATATAAACGGGTGAATCAATGAGAGAATGAATGAACAGACAAACAAACACTCACCAGCAGCAACGTAGCCAGAATAGTAGTCAGCCTCATGGTGTGTACAGTACTTGATGCTGGGGAGAGAAAATGTCCCTTATAAGTCTTATCGATAAACATTCTTATAAGTCTTAAGATAAATATGAACATTCAAGATATACAGAAGTGTACCCTAAAGAATTATAGAAAATGAATTACAGAATATACAAAATATAACAATGCATAACTTAATAACTGTAGAAGATGAATTACAAAAAGTACAAAATTTTGAATAAGTATCGTAAAAAATCTTAAATAAAAAAAAATCGAAAAATAGTTACATAAAATAATATATAAAATACTGTAATATGTAACCAAGTTTTCTTTTTAATACTGAAACTAAATAACAAATTACAAACTAAACTATAATTGTGTACCTTGTAAACTCGTCAGACACACCTACAAACACACATTAATATTTTTTTTTAAACGACTTATCTCAAAATACAGGTTGACTGAATCCGATTAAATTTAGCGGTTGATTTTTTGTATTCGATAAAAATAAACTGGATTAATTTCGGGATAATTTAAAGATCATAGACACATTTACTATAAGAAACGTTACTATTCTCTGATTGGTCGAAAAGCATAAGATACGTTACTGTTCTCTGATTGGCTGAAAATCGCGGATATCTGTTTCCTATTGGCCAAGAGAAACTCAGTTATAGAGGAGGTCTCTTGGGGATCTATTTCTATAACAACTTTCTTAATAATTCCAACGAAGCGATTATAGAATAATTATAACGGTGATTTCCTCTCTTAATTGACCGTAAATTACGTTGATGACTAATTATATGATATTGGGGACGATCATTATTCCTAAGGAGGTCGTTTGTGTCAATTATAACGAGATGTCTTGTGTGTTATTGGACAAGTTGGGAAAAAATTACTGATGTGAAAGTTTCAATAATATGTGAAATGTGTTGTTGTTTAAAGTGTGTACTGTATGTGTGTCATGCCGCTGTGGTCATGTACTGTGCCTCCTCGACACTAGGAGAGAGAGAGAGAGAGAGAGAGAGAGAGAGAGAGAGAGAGCAAAATTGAAACGCGATCATAAATAAAATATATCAACACCACTTTACTAACTCTACCGTCACATTTCCCCCTTTACTGACTGACCCTACTGATACTTTCCCCCGCGAGGAAGATTTTATTTTTTCCAGTACGGTTTATTATAGCCAGTAATTAAATCTTGTGTTCATCTTTTTTTTTTTTTTGTATTTACGGTAGAGACGAGTGACAGTCGGGGGCACCAGCTGTTGTTTCCTGGCGTTTGAGTGTTTGTGAACGAGATCAACAGACGGCGGTGGTGTAGGTGAATTAAAACCTCTGAAATTGGGAGTCAGATCCGAATTTTCACAATAAAAAATAGGTTTGGTTAAGTTAAGTTACACTGTGATTGTTTTTGGTTAGGTTAAAGTGTGTTTGATTTAGTTAGGCTAAGTTTAAGAAAAATTTGGAGAGGTTAGGTTACGTTGGGTACGAGTAGGTTAGGTTAAGTTGATGTGATTAAGGTAGAGTTAGGTAAGGTTAGGTTAAGATGAGCTATGTTAAGCAAGGGTTGAATTAGGCCAAGGTAGGTCAGGTTAGGATTGGTTAGGTTAGGTTAGGTTAGATTAGGTCACTTCAGGCTAAGTTTGGCTAGGTTAGGTTGCATTATGTTAGGAGAGTTAAAGTAGGTCGGGTTAGATTTAGCTTGGGTAGGTTGCATTATCATACTGAATTAAACAGGGTTGAATTAGGTCAGGTCAGGTCACCTTACGTATCCGGGTAGATAAGGTTATGTCAAATTAGGTCAGATCGTCAGCTTCCAGATCCGGGCAGATTAAGTTAGGTGAGATTAGTTCAGGTTAGATTAGGCCAATTTCCGATCACGGTAGGTTAGGTTAAATCAGGTTAGGTTAGATTAGGCCAACTTCCGGGTAGGTTAGGGCAGGGCGAGAAACTAGGCAGGTCTCTACACCCGTTGCCTGTGTTCACCCGGCAGCGAGTAGGAACCTGGTTGTACGACGGCTGTTGTGGGTCGCATCCTGTGGAATGGTGTAATGCAATAACATCTGAGGAACAACTCGCAAAGTTTAAGTTAGATTAGGTCAGGTCAAGTTAGATTAGGTCAGAAAAGGCTAGATTAGGCCAACTTCCGGATACGGATAGAATCGGTTAGGTCAGATAAGCTCAGGTTAGATCAGATCAACTTCCGGATCCGGGTAGATTATGTTAGGTCAAGTCAGGTTAGGTCAGAATAGATTAGGCCACCTTCCAGGCCTTGGTAGGTTAGGTTAGGTTAGGTTAGGTTAGGTTAGGTCAAGTCAGGTTAAATCAGATTAACTTCCGGATCTGGGTAGATTAGGTCAGGTCAGATAAGGTCAGGTCAGGTTAGACCACCTTCCGGATCTAGTTCTAGTAGTGAACAACCTATACCAGTGAGAGTGCTGATTTTTTTTGCCCTACAATCAACTAAAACGAACAACCACTTATTTTTTTTCTCGCCACTTTCTCTTGGGGTAAACTATTGTAGTCAACTCTCGCTGCTGCTGCCCCACATGTTGACCAGGTGGACGGTGCCTAAACTAATGATACACCTGAGTTATAGGTAAGGGTGTGGACCTGTTAAGTCATAGATTTACAGCTACTACTTCTATTTACTAACCACCACCACCACTAGTACTACTACTACTACAGCAACTACTACTACGACGGCGACTACTATTACTACGGCAACTACTACTATTACGGCAACTACTACTACTACGGCAACTACTACTACTACGGCGACTACTACTACGGCGACTATTGCTACTGCGGCAACTACTACCGAGGCAACTAATAATACTACTAGTGCGACAACTACCACTGCGGCAACTACTACTACTACTTCTCCTACTGCTACTCCTACTACTAATACTAATACTAATAAAATAACAATAAAGTGTAATTAAAAAGAACAGATTAAAAACAGACCAGTAGAACCTCAGCAAAACGAGAGCAGAATTACAACCCAACTTATATCAACCTAACCTAACCCAACCTAACCCAGCCTAACGCAACTTAAATTAACCCCAACCAAACCCAACCAAACCCAAACCAAAGGCCAACCTAAACCCAACCACAACTAAGCAATAACACACGTATCAATCACGTATCCCGACAAGACCAACTCACTTAATGAAAGCAATTTAATGGTTAGATCACATTCCCACTGAGAGCTGGGACGAGGTGAGAATATCTGACGTGTGGGTGTGGTTAGATGACGTGTCGGTGTGGTTAAGTGACGTGTGGGTGTGGTTAGTTGACGTGTCGGTGTGGTTAAGTGACGTGTGGGTGTGGTTAGTTGAATGACGTGTGGGTGTGGTTAGTTGACGTGGGGTGTGGTTAAGGACGTGTGGGGGTGGTCAGATGACGTGTGGTGTGGTTAGATGACGTGGGGTGTGGTTAGATGACGTGGGGGGTGTGGTTAGATGATGTGCGGGTGTGGTTAGATGATGTGCGGTGTGGTTAAATGAAGTGTTAGTGTGGTTAATGACGTGTGCGTTAGTTGACGTGTTCGTATAGATAGTTGACGTACGTATAGATAGTTGACGTGCGTATAGAGTTGATGTGTACGTGCGTATAGATAGTTGACGTGTGACGTGTGCGTATAGAGTTGACGTGTGCGTATAGATAGTTGACGTACGTATAGATAGTTGACGTGCGTATAGATAGCGTATAGATAGTTGACGTGTGCGTATAGATAGTTGGACGTGTGTATAGATAGTTGACGTGTGCGTATAGAGTTGACGTGTGCGTATAGATAGTTGACGTGTGCGTATAGATAGTTGACGTGTACGTATAGATAGTTGACGTGTGCGTATAGATAGTTGACGTGTACGTATAGATAGTTGACGTGCGTGTATACATGACGTGTGTGTGTAAGTAGATAACACAGGTGATTATCTAGGTATCCGTGTGTGTGTGTGTTAAAGTACAGCATAGACATTCACCCTCAGTCTCTCATGCTCACACCACTACCTCACCCCTCCCCTCACACCACTACCTCACCCTCACCCTCCTCACCTTCTCTCTTCCCACTGCCCCCCCTCACACCACTACTCTCACCCTCCCCCTCACACCACTACCTCACTGCTCCCTCACACCCTCCACACCCCCCTCACCTTCTCTCAGATACACATACACATAACACCTAGATATGGCCTACAAGAGATCGGGATTCCTAACGATCTAGAAAGCAAGAATAATTAATTGGTTAGATTAGTTTAGGTTGGTTAGATTAAGTTAGGTTGGTTAGATTAAGTTAGGTTGGTTAGATTAGGTTAGGTTGGTTAGATTAGATTAGATTGATTAGATTAGGTTAGGTTGGTTAGATTAGATTAGGTTAGTTTGGTTAGATTAGGTTAGGTCAGGTTGGTTAGGTTAAGGTTAAGTTAGTTTGGTTAGGTTAGCTTCTAATTCGTCCCTAGCCCAATGTTGACACTTGCAGATGATGTCACTAGGTAGAAGCACTTGCAGATGACGTCACACGGTAGAATCACTTGCAGATGACGTCACAAGTCCTATAGTTCACGATAAAACCCGCATTTGGTTCACTATACTTAAGTTGTTTCTCATTTGTTTTAGTATCTGGTCGAGCCAAAGACACTGAGAAGAGGGTAATGTGTTGAGTATATCTGGCTGCTGCTGATTCGACATCCGGCCGTAATGACACTATATTCATTATAATCTCATCAAACAGTCTTTGTACGCCAAATACATTCATTATGTTATATTTTACCAGCATTATATTTGTTCATCCTTCAATTAGTGCATGTTTAGTGTTTTTTTTCATTATACCATCAAGATACAATGTTCCACTCATTGTACAAATCAATATATACTGTTCCATCCTCATTGTACACCTTCTCAATATTCGCGTGCTCCTTTTTGGTCTTACTGTTCATGCACCACTGTAATTTCATTGTATGTTCATTGTACACCCTTGAACAGCCACCTGTACAGAGGAAATAACCCCCAGGTGTACAGTATATTGGTGGTGAGGTATAATGATTCCCAGAGAAGTTAGGCGCCAACCTAACCTACCCTAACCTGACATGACTAGACTTAACCTAACCCAACTCGACTAAACCTAACTTACCTAACGTGACTTGACCTAACTTAACCTGACCTAACCTTTAAGACAAGAACATAAGAATGGAGGAAACTACAGCGGGCCTATTGGGCAGTCCTATTTACACCCAACCCCTATCGCTCATATCTCCATCCAACTTATGTTTGAAGCTATCCACCGTATTCGAGTTAATGATGATGTTTGGTAACTTGTTCCACTCGTCCACTACTCTATTTCCAAACCAATGTTTACCTATTTCGCGCCTAAATCTAAATTTGTCTATCTTAAAACCATTGTTACGAGTTCGCTCCTGGTTGGATAGTTTGAGTACCTTTGTAATGTCCCCTTTGTTTAGCCCTGCCTTCCACTTATACACCTCTATCAGGTCGCCCCTCGCTCTACGTCTCTCGAGGGAGTGCAAATCTCTATACTCAAGGTTCCTAATGCCCGGGATTAGTCTTGTCATTCTCCTCTGAATTCTTTCTAGAAATTCTACATCCATTCTGTAGTACGGTGACCATAACTGAACTGCGTAATCCAAGTGAGGTAAACGGCAACAAGTCCAATGGTTAACTTAGATTGGAACCAAGTCTACCAATCACCTACAATGGTACTGTAATACAATGGTGGTGTACAGTGCAGATGTATAAAGGAAATTAGTGATGTGTTACAATAAAATAACTTTTGTGTATATTGTAATTTTTCCCATAAGAAATTGTTAACAGTTGATCACATTTCATTAAAAATATTAACACAAATTTTCAACATAACTAGCTGGTATTTTAATTATGAACGTATAATACGATTGAGAGGGTGTGAGAGAGCAATTCAGGAACTCTAATAATTCCAATTTAAAAAATATATACTGTCTCTCTTTCACTTTTGTCAAATGTTAATTTTCCGATCTTAACTGGTAACAAATAATATCACACACACATGAAAGGCAAAGAAAACGGTACAACATACACAGGTGAATTATAACTTCTTAACACATAGTCACCTCAAACAAACAAAAAACTAACCAATGAAGAGCGGAATTACGACAACCTCTTTGCGACACGTCCACTGTACGACTAGCCAGACGGCAACTTGACGCGAGCAGCATAAGGGCCAACAGTAGTGCCGGCAACTGCGCATGCGTGAGAAAGCTTTGGCCCCCACCCTCTACATTCTTATTTACTATTTCCCTAATTATTCATTGTTTCCATTCGACAAATAAATGTATATGTTAGGTTCGAATATTATAAAGGTAAAAGCATTATATGATTGAGACGTGAACATAGGGAAAGATATTCGGGTTAACAGCGGCTAACTTTCCCCCTGGGGTCATGAACACTGTCGACTCAGGCACAAGACCCGTTCCTGGCTTTCTCCTGCCTGCCCTAGTACACTCCCTGTCTGCCTGCCCTGGTACACTCCCTGCCCCAGTACACTCCCTGCCCCAGTACACTCCCTACCCTAGTACACTCCCTACCCTAGTACACTCCCTACCCTAGTACACTCCCTACCCCAGTACACTCCCTACCCTAGTACACTCCCTACCCTAGTACACTCCCTACCCTAGTACACTCCCTACCCCAGTACACTCCCTACCCTAGTACACTCCCTACCCTAGTACACTCCCTACCCTAGTACACTCCCTGCCCCAGTACACTCCCTACCCTAGTACATTATCTAGAAGACAAAGTAGCGTTACTGTTTACTTAATAACATTGTACCTCCCACTAACACTATGTTAACCTCACAGTAAGCCAGGAATGAATGAATCTTTCACTGCCATTCAACCAAATCTTATTCACTTACTCTGATGAAGGAACATAAATTATATATTATGAATGAAAAAAAAAAGTTATATTACAATGATAAGGACGAATAGTTGATAGAAAATAAAGTTATACTATATTTTGGGTGCTTTTTTTTGTCTGTCTTCTGATTGGTCCACTGCCAGAGAGAAAGTTTGTTGATTGGTTAATTGGACAACGTCGATATGTTAGTTACGACACTCCGAGTGATAGTAACACTGCCATAAGCCTCAGAGATGAAAGGTAAATGAAGAAGAACAAGAACAACAACAAGAAAAAGAGGAAAAGAGAACAAGAAGAAAAAGAGGAACAAAGAAGAAAAAGAACAAGAACAAAAATAGGAATAGAGAACAGGAAGAAAAAGAGGAATAAAGAAGAATAAGAACAAGAAGAACAAGATCAAAAACAAAAGAGGAATAGAGAACAGGAAGAAGAAAAAGAAGAATAAAGAAGAACAAGAAGAACAAGATCAAAAACAGAAGAGGAATAGAGAACAGGAAGAAGAAAAAGAGGAATAAAGAAGAACAAGATGGACTAATTATACCTCAGCACTCAGCGAGAACGAGGTAGTCGAACCATCATAATAATTACTATAGTTAATGACTGATTTCCCGCCAAATGACTGTCATAATCCTTCCAGCTGATGTAACTTGTTTTGTTTAGGGTGTCCACGTGTCACCCAACCAAACATAAACCAAACCTAACATAAACCCAACCTAAAGTAAACCCAACCTAACATAAACCCAACCTAACATAAAGCCAACCTAACGTAAACCCAACCTAACATAAACCTAACCTAACATAAAGCCAACCTAACATAAACCCAACCTACAGTAAACCCAACCTAACCATAAACCAAACCTAACATAAACCCAACCTAAAGTAAACCCAACCTAACATAAACCAAACCTAACATAAACCCAACCTACAGTAAACCCAACCTAACATAAACCCAACCTAACATAAAGCCAACCTAACGTAAACCCAACCTAACATAAACCTAACATAAACCTAACCTAACCAAACCTAACATAAACCCAACCTAACCTAACAAACCCGGTGAACGTTGTCATGGCCGGGTGAATGTTGTCATGGACCGGTGAATGTTGTCATGGCCCGGTGAATGTTGTCATGGCCCGGTGAATGTTGTCATGGCCCGGTGAATGTTGTCATGGCCGGGTGAATGTTGTCATGGACCGGTGAATGTTGTCATGGCCCGGTGAATGTTGTCATGGCCCGGTGAATGTTGTCATGGCCCGGTGAATGTTGTCATGGACCCATGAATGTTGTCATGGACCGGTGAATGTTGTCATGGACCGGTGAATGTTGCTCACCCATGAATGTTGTCAGTGGACCGGTGAATGTTCTCACCGCGTGTGTCTATATAAGCTGCAGAAGATTTTCCTCATGTAATGTACGTGTGGCGAGCTGAGGGTGGTGCTATAAGAGTACAGTGACGGCCTGCACTCCCCCACGGCAGGCAGACACACACACACCACACCAGGGACTACATTACCTATCTGCAGCCCTGGGATTAAAATGTGGAATACCTGAGTTTTTATTTAAACCCCTGTGCCTTCCGTTTTCTTCCTATGTTTTATTTATTTTTTTTTTCTCTTTCTGTAACCTATTTCCTCTTTCTTACTTTATTTCCCTCCTTCGTCTTCTTCTTCTTCTTCACTTTTAATTATTCTCCTCACTGTTTATTCCTCCTCCCTCCTTCCCCAAAAAAAAAGAATTCCTCTCCATCGTTACGCTACTTCTAACCTCCTCTCCCCTCTATTAACCACCACCAACTTCACTGAGATGAGTCTACGGTCTCAGTTAACGCTCCGAGTATCATCTGCTGTGTGGTAAAGACTCCCATATAACATAAAGAATGACCCCACCACACATACACACAGATAAGTGACTCATTATATAAATCATTCAGGTAAAAGTGTAATTACTGCATCTGACACACTATATACGGGGTGATATAGGGTTTATTTGTCAACAGGTGATAGTTCTAAGGGCATCATTTAACACAAACCTGAACCAACAAAGATATAATGATGTTCTGTGTTGTTGTATCCTTGTGTGGGTAATTTTAGTTCTGTTGTGTGTGTATAGATCTCTCTTTTGTTTTAGTGAAACTCGCCATCCATCAAGACAAACTACTTGCCCTCACGTTCACCTGTACATCAAGCAGCCAACACGTCATATATATCACGTGTCATCGCCTGCAGGTAAACACACATCTTTATTGCAACCACCTCCGCTACCTGCCACCATCAACACCACATACATCACCTCCAACCACGCAATCCTCACCAGAACACTGTGTCGTTGACCTGTGTTGTAGGAAGTAGTGTTGTCAGGCTCGTAGTGATGACGATGGCGACCTGTGGTGTAATGGTCAGCATGCTCGCCTCGCAAGCGAGTGGACCAAGGTTCGATCCCCGGGTAGGGTTAAACTATGGGTAAGTATCTTTACGCTATTTGCCTCTCTACTCAGCGGCGGATCGTGTTCTGGGGAAATGGTTAGCCAGAGCTGTTGGCGAGTTGCCCGGTCTTCTCGAAGTTTCTTGACACTGGGTCATGCAACTCATTAACTTAGGGTGTGGTTGTTGTATTAGCGAAAGCTTCTACACCTTAAACAAATTCGCGCCGAGGTGACGCCTCCCACCCCGACTCACCCAGCCAACTTAACAGGACAGATAGAAACGGATATTAGACACCCTATGTGCACCCTTAACCATTGTAGCGAGAGCCTCATGAACCATAACTCTCCCCCACGTCTGAACATTAACTCCAAACAGCGGCCCTAACACCCACAACAGTACTCTACTGTGTTTATATGTCAGCGATGTTTGTATAGCAAGTGAAGTATGTATACCAAGTGATGCATTTATAGCAATTAGACCTAAACCTTTCATTCCTCTCACCTGAAGTCCATGTTCGTTTCCTTATGTAGTTTCATGAGTATACAGTAGTTCATTCAGTTTGTGTCAACACATAAATTTAGGCGAATGAATTGATTACTGTTGTACAGGTGCTGCCATCTTGAGTTCATCTCTTATACTTCCCTCCCCAGAAGAAGAGGAAAGGAAGGAAGGAAAAAGGAAGAAAAGAAAAAGAAAGAAGGAAGAGGAGGAAAAAATTAAGAAAAATGAAGAAAGAAGAAGAAAAGAAGAGGAAGAAAGAAGAAATTAAGAAGAAGAAAGAAGACGCACCACAAACATAACACACAATCACTCACGAGTTCTGACAGCGAGACAAAAAGTATGACCAACCAAAAATATATTCAGTGTGGTAAAAGTTTTTCACACACCGAGATGACGAATAAGTGGCAAGAAAATACGTCTCTCTGCCCCGTCATGCATGTCTGTTAGTATGTGTATTTTTGTATCTGTCTGTCTGTCTGTGTGTATGTATGTTTGTATATTTTGTCTATTTGTCTCACTAACTTTAATATTTCTCATTTTATCTTTATTGTTTTGAGAGGGAATTTATTGTTATTTACAGATGGAAAGCTATAGGTTATATCTACCGAAAATACGAGTTGAAAAATATCAATAGCCAACTCTCAGCGCGCGCACGCACGCACGCACACACACACCATCTCAAAATACAATCGTACTATTACTAATCAAACGAGTCATTAATGAAACAATTTAACACGACCATTATGATATATTCATCTCTATCACAATTAGAACAGGCGGTGGTGGAGCGACCCTTGCAGGGAGGAGTGGTGGAGGGAAAGTGGCCACACGTTCAGATTGCACCCCTCTAACTCATTTTTCTATGACTGCCATTTATATACAATACTGTAAAGTGAAGTGATAACAACCTCAGTGTCAAGACCTGACAACTATTCAGAATAGCCAAATTGTACTCCAAGCTTTGCCAATAATGTTAAACTAAAAACAAAAAACAAGGCCATGTACTTTGCAAGTCTGTGTTTACTGCAGACGTCACATGAACCACTGCCATCAAGTGACGTAAGACCTCAAGACTGCACAGCTCACAGGAGGGGATGACAAGAAATCCTGGCCAACGGAAGCATTTGGTCAACGTCACGAGGGTCGAAATAAAGCTAGCTGATATTTTACAGTATGGCGTAATTAACATTTAATACTGCTGATCATCTTGCAGATTTAGTCAAATGTATTTTTACCGACTCATATTCTACTAAGAGACACTCTTAAAAGGACAAAGGTATAAAAAATATAAAGAAAAATATAAAGGTTATAGGGAATTACAGTAAATATGGCCTTCTCGAACAGATTCTGATACATTCAGGAGCCAGTACATTCCCAGTACTTGCTAACAGTGCGTAACAGAGACGTGACCGACCAACCTAGT